CTCATAACGAGCTTCAAGTTCATAGATTTGATTTTTAGCATTTTGTAGTTCAATTTTTTGATTTTCAAGTTCATATAATCAAAATCAAAACCTACCACCAGTTCAGCCACTACAACAACTACCACAAAATTTATACAATCAAAACCTATCATCAGTTCAACCACCACCACAACAGAACTCATATAATCAAAATCAAAACCTACCATCATTACCGCCACAATATCCTCAACCGCCACACCCCGCTACTGCCACTTCACAAATGCCACAACAAGTTCCATCACATCCACATCTTCAATATGCTCAACAATCTCTATCCACTGCTGCTGCCCCACAAATTCTACCATTAACTGCTGGTGCTCCACAAATTTCAGCAATGCAAACACCACAAACACCTCAATTACAAACAATGCAATTACAATTTCCTCAAACAATACAGCCATATGCTGCTAACCATCAACCAGTCCCGCAATCAGCCACTACTTCGCAAATACAATTACCTGTTGCTCAATTGCCTACACCTACTGCTAGCAATACAACAACTGCAAATGTTGCTACTGAACAAAAACCACCTTCAAATCAAACCACCAAAATTAACATTCACAATAATAACCATTCTAACCATGTTTCTCGTACTTCGTCACCTGCTAATAATGCTTCTTCAAATTATAACAATAATAATAATCGGCAGAGTAAAGGAAACCATAGTCGTAGCAATTCCCGAAACCTTATTTCAAAAAATCAAAACAAACATAATAACAATAACAATAATAATCATCAAAAGAACAAAAAACCAAATAACAGCAATAATAATAACAAACATAATAATGATGATGTCGAATCAAATAACAATGGAGACACTAAAGAAGAAGTTATCCCCTTAAGTTCAAAAGCTTGGTGGTAGATTATTTATTATTTGTTTATTTATTCATATATGTATAAATTTATATTTTATAAATAAATATTATTTAATTATTTATTTAATGTTTTAAAAAAAATTAATTTAATTATGTACTCTATTTAAAAAAATTTAAAGAATAAATTAATTTAAATTGTTTTTATTAAGTATTTATTCTTTTTTATGTCTAGTACAAATCAAGAAATATATATATTAACCAATTTAATCAAATCATTTACTTTTTGAATATATAAGCCTTAATTAAACGAGTGTCCATTGAAGATTAATTTCGATACTTAAACGTCGGTCGTTGTGTGTACGGAG